CTCCGGGGGATTGTAAACCTCGGCCACAGCCACATATTTTGCCCTTACGCTGAGGTGATTCATGCAGCATAGTCTGTGATACAGGAGTCTTCCCTAAATTGATCTCTTCAAATCTGCTGAGTCTTTGGACCAGGAGTGCCACCCTCTCCTCTGCTTTCTTTCACTTCTTACTGTTTAATATTGTCTGGGGAATATTCCATCAGTGTGTGTGTGTGTGACTGAGTTTTACATACATACGGAAGATGGTATCAAGGAGAGGGTGAGTTGTTTAGTACTGTTGAGAGCTGTTGTAGAAATGGCATTCATCACAGTACGGGTGGCAGCGTCAGCAGCGTCAGCGTCAGCAACAGCGGCGGCGGCGTCAACAGCGGCGGCAGCGTCAACAGCGGCGGCAGCGTCAACAGCGGCGGCAGCGTCAACAGCGGCGGCAGCGTCAACAGCGGCGGCAGCGGCGGCAGCGTCAACAGCGGCGGCGGCGTCAACAGCGGCGGCAGCGTCAACAGCGGCGGCAGCGTCAGCAGCGGCAGCGGCAGCGGCAGCGGCAGCGGCAGCGGCAGCGGCAGCGGCGGCAGCGGCAGCAGCGGCAGGAGGACTAGGAGGAGCGGGCTGGCAAGGCGTCCCCTTTAAGGCGAGCATTGTACTGCGCGCCGGAGTTCAATTTGAGATGTAATTTAGAAAGTTTAAATTGGGATGAGTGAACCGATTTTCTGTCATAGCGATGATTTGGCTGTTTCCTTCCACCAACTTTAACTTTGGTGCGATAGATTATTGTGATGGTTGATGTTATTCTGAGGCAGCAGGCGGAAAATGGGAATTGAATGTGGACCATAATTGTGTTTACGAACGTACATATCTCTTGTGTGCGTGCATGTGTTGGTCTGTATACCTTCACAAAGAGTAATTGTATTCACACAGGCATGTATATATTTAAATGTATGTTTCTACGTATGTGTATGTGTGGTTATCTTGAGTTGATTTCGGGGATTTTTTTTAAGTGTCCCCGCGGCCCGGTCCTCGACCAGGCCTCCACTTACAGGAAGCAGCCCGTGACAGCTGACTAACACCCAGGTACCTATTTACTGCTAGGTAACAGGGGCATATGGTGAAAGAAACTCTGCCCATCGTTTCTCGCCGGCGCCCGGGATCGAACCCGGGACCACAGGATCACGTGTCCATCGTGCTCTCCGCTCGGCCGGCCGGCTCCCGTGTGTGTATGAAAGAGACAGAATACTTTATTTTTATTCCAGTAATTGAATATATATATATATATATATATATATATATATATATATATATATATATATATATATATATATATATATATATATATATATATTAGTATATTTTGGTAGCAGTCTTTCCTGTAGACATATATTATTAAATATGACCGAAAAAGTAAGATTAGTAATTCTAACACGAATTTTCTCAATCTTTCGTACATTTCTTTTCACTGTTGGAGGTAATTCAAAAATCAATTCTCCAAAATTCATTTTTATTTCTAGTCTGACGCGACACGAGCGCGTTTCGTAAAACTTATTACATTTTCAAAGAGTTTAGTTTACAAATACACAACTGAATAGAACTTACACATCTCCGATTTTTGTTTATATCTACATTTTAGTGAGGTGGATGGGGTGAGGTGGCATTAATAGGGTATTAATTTCATCAACACAAGACAGAACAAGAGGTGGCATTAACAGGGTATTAATTTCATCAACACAAGACAGAACACGAAACAATGGGTATTGAAATGGAAGTGATTGTAGAAAGCCTATTGGTCCATATTTCTTGATACTTCTATATTGGAGCGGAGTCTTGAGGTGGGTAGAATATAGTTGTGCATTAATTGGCTGTTGATTGCTGGTGTTGACTTCTTAATGTGTAGTGCCTCGCAAACGTCAAGCCGCCTGCTATCGCTGTATCTATCGATGATTTCTGTGTTGTTTACTAGGATTTCTCTGGCGATGGTTTGGTTGTGGGAAGAGATTATATGTTCCTTAATGGAGCCCTGTTGCTTATGCATCGTTAAACGCCTAGAAAGAGATTTTGTTGTCTTGCCTATATACTGCTTTTTTTGGAGCTTACAGTCCCCAAGTGGGCATTTGAAGGCATAGACGACGTTGGTCTCTTGTAAAGCGTTCTGCTTTGTGTCTGGAGAGTTTCTCATGAGTAGGCTGGCCGTTTTTCTGGTTTTATAGTAAATCGTCAGTTGTATCCTCTGATTTTTGTCTGTAGGGATAACGTTTCTATTAACAATATCTTTCAGGACCCTTTCCTCTGTTTTATGAGCTGTGGAAAAGAAGTTCCTGTAAAATAGTCTAATAGGGGGTATAGGTGTTGTGTTAGTTGTCTCTTCAGAGGTTGCATATATATATATATATATATATATATATATATATATATATATATATATATATATATATATATATATATATATATATAATGAATGTATATATGCATATGTACTAGTGAGAGCAAAATATATTGTGAGTAATAGTATATACTTGGGAAGTTATATTGGAATATTACAGATGTATGCTGGCAGTAATTGTATTAACGTGGGTGTGTGTTTGTGTGTGTACTCACCTAGTTGTACTCACCTAGTTGTGCTTGCGGAGGTTGAGCTCTGGCTCTTTGGTCCCGCCTCTCAACCGTCAATCAACAGGTGTACAGATTCCTGTGCCTATCGGGCTCTGTCATATCTACACTTGAAACTGTGTATGGAGTCAGCCTCCACCACATCACTTCCTAATGCATTCCATTTGTCAACCACTCTGACACTAAAAAAGTTCTTTCTAATATCTCTGTGGCTCATTTGGGCACTCAGTTTCTACCTGTGTCCCCTTGTGCGTGTTCCCCTTGTGTTAAATAGACTGTCTTTATCTACCCTATCAATTCCCTTCAGAATCTTGAATGTGGTGATCATGTCCCCCCTTACTCTTCTGTCTTTCAGCGAAGTGAGGTTTAATTCTCGCAGTCTCTCCTCGTAGCTCATACCTCTCAGCTCGGGTACTAGTCTGGTGGCAAACCTTTGAACCTTTTCCTTTATATGTGTGTGTGTGTGTGTGTGTGTGTGTATACGTGTGTATGTATGTGTATCCTTCTTGATGCTAGTGTGACTGGAAAGGTGGGTGTATACTCATCTAGATGTGCCTTGCAGAGTCGAGCTTCAGCTACTACGCCCCGGTTCTCCACAATATATCAGGTCGAGTCCCTATGCAGATATTCTGCGCTCACTATCACGCACTCTGCGCTCACTATCACGCACTCTGCGCTCACTATCACGCACTCTGCGCTCACTATCACGCACTCTGCGCTCACTATCACGCACTCTGCGCTCACTGTCACGCACTCTGCGTTTGTTCCCACGCACTCTGGACGATAGAGCGAAGGTCTCGCTTCATGCAGGTCGGCGTTCAATTCCCGACCGTCCACAAGTGGTTGGGCACCATTCCTTCCCCTCCGTCCCATCCCAAATCCTTATCCTGACCCCCTTCCCAGTGCTATATTGTCATAATGACTTGGCGCTTTCCCCTGATTCATCCCTCCCTTCCCTCCCACGCAATTTGCATACATTGTAACGTATCGAAAAATGAAGGAAAAGGAATGAAGAATGAAGAAATTCGAGGGGTGAGGGAGGGTAAGAGAGGTGGAAAGGGGATGTGAGGAAGAGTGATCAAGGGAAAGGGAAAGTTTAGAATGAGAGAGAGAGAAAATGAGATTAAGAAGGGAAGTAGAAGAGTAGAAAGTAAGAGTAGTAGAATAGTAGAAAGATAGAAGGCTGCTGCCACCATCCATTCAAGTTAGTTAACTGTAAGATAAGGAATAGAACTTGGCTACACAATAGTATTGTCTGATGTTATCATGTATCAACTGTAAGCATGTACTCTTATTACATTAGAGTGCTTATTACTCTTATTATTAGAGTGCGCTCCACTCTGGCTGGCAATATATTAGAGTGCGCTCCACTCTGGCTGGCAATATATCATACAACATCCAACATCTAGGGACCACAAAGACAATTGAACAAATAAGTTAATCAGTTATATATTTCCTCGTAGAGTTAAATTATGATATTCACTCATATCAATATCATAATTTAACTATATCATTTGATGTTAAATGTCAACATTAAATCACAATTTTGATTCACAAAATTGAATTTTGTGATTCAATTTTGATTTGATTCAAAGGTGCTCTCAAGAAATTGAGAGCACCTATGGCTGCCTGCCCCTTAGAGACACTCAACACCTAAGCTCCGCCTTGCAGGAGATCTACACTCGTAAGTGAAAGATAGCCTCTGGCTATCTACACTCGTAAGTGAAAGATAGCGTCTGGCTATCTACACTCGTAAGTGAAAGATAGCGTCTGGCTATCTACACTCGTAAGTGAAAGATAGCGTCTGGCTATCTACACTCGTAAGTGAAAGATAGCGTCTGGCTATCTACCTAGCAGAAAGCAAGTACACTTCACAAGACATGACTCAAATTGTGAACATTAAATCTCTAAAGGTGTGGCTTCTTAATTGCTAAGTGTAGACCAGGTGGCGACACCATTATCCTGTGTGACTCAACTCTCGTTTGGTGTTAAATAATATACAAAACCCATTTATGGTACATTTCCACGCACTCTGCGCTCATTATCACGCACTCTGCGCTCATTATCACGCACTCTGCGCTCTTTATCACGCACTCTGCGCTCATTATCACGCACTCTGCGCTCACTATCACGCACTCTGCGCTCTTTATCACGCACTCTGCGCTCACTATCACGCACTCTGCACTCTTTATCACACACTCTGCGCTCATTATCACGCACTCTGCGCTCATTGTCACGCACTCTGCACTCTTTATCACGCACTCTGCGCTCATTGTCACGCACTCTGCACTCTTTATCACACACTCTGCGCTCATTATCACGCACTCTGCGCTCATTGTCACGCACTCTGCGCTCATTATCACGCACTCTGCGCTCATTATCACGCACTCGTGCGCTCATTATCACGCACTCGTGCGCTCATTATCACGCACTCTGCGCTCATTGTCACGCACTCTGCGCTCATTGTCACGCACTCTGCGCTCATTATCACGCACTCTGCGCTCACTATCACGCACTCTGCGCTCATTGTCACGCACTCTGCGCTCACTATCACGCACTCTGCGCTCTTTATCACGCACTCTGCGCTCATTATCACGCACTCTGCGCTCATTGTCACGCACTCTGCGCTCATTGTCACGCACTCTGCGCTCACTATCACGCACTCTGCGCTCTTTATCACGCACTCTGCGCTCATTGTCACGCACTCTGCGCTCATTGTCACGCACTCTGCGCTCATTATCACGCACTCTGCGCTCATTATCACGCACTCTGCGCTCATTATCACGCACTCTGCGCTCATTATCACGCACTCTGCGCTCATTATCACGCACTCTGCGCTCATTATCACGCACTCTGCGCTCTTTATCACGCACTCTGCGCTCATTATCACGCACTCTGCGCTCATTATCACGCACTCTGCGCTCATTATCACGCACTCTGCGCTCATTATCACGCACTCTGCGCTCTTTATCACGCACTCTGCGCTCTTTATCACGCACTCTGCGCTCATTATCACGCACTCTGCGCTCTTTATCACGCACTCTGCGCTCTTTATCACGCACTCTGCGCTCTTTATCACGCACTCTGCGCTCATTATCACGCACTCTGCGCTCTTTATCACGCACTCTGCGCTCATTATCACGCACTCTGCGCTCTTTATCACGCACTCTGCACTCTTTATCACGCACTCTGCGCTCATTATCACGCACTCTGCGCTCTTTATCACGCACTCTGCGCTCATTATCACGCACTCTGCGCTCTTTATCACGCACTCTGCGCTCATTATCACGCACTCTGCGCTCATTATCACGCACTCTGCGCTCATTATCACGCACTCTGCGCTCATTATCACGCACTCTGCGCTCTTTATCACGCACTCTTTGCCTTGTTACTCATCCTTACGTTACACTCCAAGACCAACAGTGAACACTCCAAGACCAACAGTGAACACTCCAAGACCAACAGTGAACACTCCAAGACCAACAGTGAACACTCCAAGACCAACAGTGAACACTCCAAGACCAACAGTGAACACTCCAAGACCAACAGTGAACACTCCAAGACCAACAGTGAACACTCCAAGACCAACAGTGAACACTCCAAGACCAACAGTGAACACTCCAAGACCAACAGTGAACACTCCAAGACCAACAGTGAACACTCCAAGACCAACAGTGAACACTCCAAGACCAACAGTGAACACTCCAAGACCAACAGTGAACACCCCAAGACCAACAGTGAACACTCCAAGACCAACAGTGAACACTCCAAGACCAGTGAACACTCCAAGACCAACAGTGAACACCCCAAGACCAACAGTGAACACTCTAAGAGCAACAGTGAACACTCCAAGACCAACAGTGAACACTCCAAGACCAACAGTGAACACCCCAAGACCAACAGTGAACACTCCAAGACCAACACTGAACACTCCAAGACCAACAGTGAACACTCCAAGACCAACAGTGAACACTCCAAGACCAACAGTGAACACTCCAAGACCAACAGTGAACACTCCAAGACCAACAGTGAACACTCCAAGACCAACAGTGAACACTCCAAGACCAACAGTGAACACACCAAGACCAACAGTGAACACCCCAAGACCAACAGTGAACACTCCAAGACCAACAGTGAACACTCCAAGACCAACAGTGAACACTCCAAGACCAACAGTGAACACTCCAAGACCAACAGTGAAACACTCCAAGACCAACAGTGAACTGTTTCCGGGGCTTAGCGTCCCCGCGGCCCGGTCGTCGACCAGGCCTCCTCGTTGCTGGACTGGATCAACCAGGCTGTTGGACGCGGCTGCTCGCAGCCTGACGTATGAGTCACAGCCTGGTTGATCAGGTATCCTTTGGAGGTGTTTGTCAAGTTCTCTCTTGAACACTGTGAGGGGTCGGCCAGTTATGTCCCTTATGTGTAGTGGAAGCGTGTTGAACAGTCTCGGGCCTCTGATGTTGATAGTTCTCTCTTGAACACTGTGAGGGGTCGGCCAGTTATGTCCCTTATGTGTAGTGGAAGCGTGTTGAACAGTCTCGGGCCTCTGATGTTGATAGTTCTCTCTTGAACACTGTGAGGGGTCGGCCAGTTATGTCCCTTATGTGTAGTGGAAGCGTGTTGAACAGTCTCGGGCCTCTGATGTTGATAGAGTTCTCTCTCAGAGTACCTGTTGCACCTCTGCTCTTCAACGGGGGTATTCTGCACATCCTGCCATGCCTTCTGGTCTCATGTGGTGTTATTTCTGTGTGCAGGTTTGGGACCAGCCCCTCTACTATTTTCCACGTGTAAATTATTATGTATCTCTCCCGCCTGCGCTCAAGGGAGTACAGATTTAGGCTCTTTAGTCGGTCCCAATAGTTTAGATGTTTTACTGAGTGGATTCTAGCAGTAAAGGATCTCTGCACGCTCTCCAGGTCAGCAATTTCTCCAGCTTTGAAAGGTGCTGTCATTGTGCAGCAGTACTCCACTCTAGAGAGCACAAGCGTCTTGAAGAGTATCATCATCGGTATAGCATCTCTAGTGTGAAAAGTTCTTGTTATCCAACCTGTCATTTTTCTTGCAGTTGTGACGGCTACTTTATTGTGTTCTTTAAAGGTAAGGTCTTCCGACATGAGTACACCCAGATCCTTTACATTGCCTTTTCGTTCTATGTTATGATTTGACTGAGTTTTGTACGTGGTTTCCGTTTTTATATTTTCATTTTTTTTCCGTAGCGCATGAGCTGGAACTTATCTTCGTTAAACACCATATTATTTTCTGTAGCCCATAGAAAGACCTGATCTACATCTGACTGGAGGTTTGCCGTGTCCTCTATGTTGCCTACTCTCATGAAGATCCTAGTGTCATCTGCAAAGGATGATACAGTGCTATAGGTTGTGTTCTTGTCTATGTCCGATATGAGGATGAGAAAAAGTACTGGAGCAAGCACAGTACCCTGGGGGACTGAGCTCTTCACGGTTGATGGGCTGGATTTTATTTTGTTGACTATTACACATTGGGTTCTGTTAGTCAGGAAATTGTAGATCCATCTGCCTATTTTTCCGGTAATTCCTTTTGAACGCATTTTGTGTGCAATAACACCATGGTCACATTTGTCGAAGGCTTTTGCGAAATCTGTGTAAATTACATCAGCGTTTTGTTTGTCTTCCATGGCATCTAATGCCATATCATAGTGGTCCAGCAACTGTGACAGGCAAGAGCGCCCTGTTCTGAAACCATGTTGTCCGGAGTTATGGAGATGCTGTGATTCCATGCGTTTTGTGATCTTACTTCTTAGCACTCGCTCAAAGATTTTGTGTGTGTGATGTTAGTGATATCGGTCTGTAATTTTTTGCCTCTGCCTTATTTCTTCCTTAATGGAGTGGTGCTATCTCTGCTGTTTTTAGTATGTCAGGGATAACGCCAGTATCTAGGCTTTGTCTCCACAGAATGTAAAGGTCCTGCTATAGTGGTTTTTTACAGTTCTTGATGAATATGGAGTTCCAAGAATCCGGGCTTGGTGCAGAGTGCATAGGCATACTGTTTATGGCTTCTTCAAAATCCAGTGGGAATAGGGTGACGTCTGATATATGTCCAATCTGCATCTCTTCCTCTTTTTTTTCTTAGGGGTATGCGGTTTGAACATATTTCTAGTGCTACTGAGCTTATTTTTTCCAGGCACTGGTTCAGGTTTGCATTTCCTAGCTGTTCTTCCCAGCTTATTTCTGTGAAGTCTTGGTTTATTTGCTGCATTTTGAAGTCCCCTGGGACTCGGGACTGGTTATCTTGAGGTTATCTTGAGATTATTTCGGGGCTTAGCGTCCCCGCGGCCCGGTCCTCAACCAGGCCTCATTTTTGTTACATACACCCCCAGGAAACTTACTTGCCACTGGAGAAGAAAATCCCCCAAAATGGTGAAAATCCTTGGTGTGTGGCTAATACACTCGTTTCGCACGGGAGATGACCTGGGTTCGAATCCTAAGCATGTAGTGTGATTTGGCATTCTTTAACCCTAATGTCCCCGACAGTAGTTTGGAATGTGGATTTAGAAAATTAGCACATATGGTATTGGAGGAAGGGAAGGGAATTGTCAAGGGGAAAGCGCCAAGACATGACGACTATATAGCACTGGGAAGGGGTCAGGATAAGGAAGAGGGATGGGACGGAGGAAAGGAATGGTGCCCAACCATTTTTCTGGTATTGAAGGAAAACTAAGTAGAGTAAGGCTTGAGATACTAAACAAGTTGTGGAAGACTTCCAGCGTCTTAACAAGGACTTCAAGGAAAAAATAAGATTGCTTTTTAAAAAGACAGTTTTAAGAGACTTATAATTAGTGTTCTTGGGATCATTTAATCAAGTGGTTAGTCTCTTTAACAGCCTAACTACTCTTATTAAGTCCATGATACAGGTGGGTATGGTAGGCTGTGACCTGGGTATGACAGACGGGCATGCGACTAGTGGGTACTAGTGGGTACTAGTGGGGGGGGGGGGTACAAGAGGGTATGAACCCGGGCAGTAGGACAGTCTGAGTCAGCAAGGCGGACAGCCCGCCTGCTTTCATACCTCTCACTGTACTTCCCACTTCTATACTTCCCTTCACCTATGCCTCTCCTTCCTCTTTACTCCCCCACCCCCCCCACCCCAAAAAAAAGGGCAGTCTGAACCATGTGGGGCTATTGAGGGTAGGGGCATTCCTTACCTCCTCCCTACCCTCCTCACCACGACCTTCCTCTTCCCCCACCACTACCCCACTTCCCCAACAGCGCCCCCCACCCATTCTTCCCCAACAGCGCCCCCCTCCCCCATTCGTCCCCCACCTCGGCAATCTTCACCACAACAGCTCAGAGCAGCAATTTGAAATATAAAGATCCTAAATACAATAACAGAGAGAAAGAGAGAGAGGTGAGAAGAGAGAGAGAGAGAGAAAGAGAAGAGATAGAGAGAGGAGAGAGAGAAGAGAGAGAGGAGAGAGAGAGAGGAGAGAGAGAGAGAGAGAGAGAGAGAGGGAGAGAGAGGTGAGAGAGAGATAGAGAGAGGGTGAGAGAGAGAGAGAGAGAGAGGAGAGAGAGGGTGAGAGAGAGAGATAGAGAGAGAGAGAGAGAGGAGAGAGAGAGAGGAAGGAGAGAGGAGAGTCCTAACCTCCTCCTCCTCCTCCTCCCTCCTCCCCTCCCTCTTCCTACCTCCTCCTCCTCCTCCTCCTCCTAATCCTCTCCCTCCTCCTCCTTGTTGTTAGTCTATCCCTATCCGTGTCACTGGTGTGTGTCAGGTCAGGCGTACTGCTGCCCTCTACAGTGTGGGCTGGCTGGCTGCCCTCTACAGTGTGGGCTGGCTGGCTGCCCTCTACAGTGTGGGCTGGCTGGCTGCCCTCTACAGTGTGGGCTGGCTGGCTGCCCTCTACAGTGTGGGCTGGCTGGCTGCCCTCTACAGTGTGGGCTGGCTGGCTGCCCTCTACAGTGTGGGCTGGCTGACTGCCCTCTACAGTGTGGGCTGGCTGGCTGCCCTCTACAGTGTGGGCTGGCTGGCTGCCCTCTACAGTGTGGGCTGGCTGACTGCCCTCTACAGTGTGGGCTGGCTGGCTGCCCTCTACAGTGTGGGCTGGCTGGCTGCCCTCTACAGTGTGGGCTGGCTGACTGCCCTCTACAGTGTGGGCTGGCTGGCTGCCCTCTACAGTGTGGGCTGGCTGACTGCCCTCTACAGTGTGGGCTGGCTGGCTGCCCTCTACAGTGTGGGCTGGCTGGCTGCCCTCTACAGTGTGGGCTGGCTGGCTGCCCTCTGCAGTGTGGGCTGGCTGGCTGCCCTCTACAGTGTGGGCTGGCTGGCTGGCTGCCCTCTACAGTGTGGGCTGGCTGGCT